GATAGGTTCTTTTTGTGAGTGTAAAACACTTAAATACACCAGTTCGAATTGATAATACAGTTTTTCCATTTGAAAGAGGTTTCTAGTTACTCTCTTACAGCGGAATATTTTTTCAGTGATATATTTAATTTAGCCTGACTTATAATGACTTATTGGAGAATAATACTCGTTTTATTTCATTTCTATTATTATTTACTTGCCTAGAAAACAAACTGACAATACATTTTACCAGAACTAGGCGTGTGTCACGGTTCAAAGAACTGCTAATTTCATTGTTCCATAAGCCTAGTAAAGAATATATCTATATTTAGATATATCCTTTTAAAGTTTTCCAAATAAGTTGGTGCCATCTTAAACAGAATGTGAAGGTCCGTGGACTTGTGCTAATTCTATAGCTTAGACAAAGGTTGCATACTACAATAATTCTTCGGTAAAGGCTTATGCTGGCTTGATCCTGTTTCTGGGGCATGCTCTTCTGAGTTGAGGTTTTACTAATTACAGATGGTGGTACAGAGTCGTGCACGAATTAGTATGAGTTAGAGTTTACCTCATTTGGAAATGAACAACGGTAATAATCAAGGACGTGGATAATCTAAAATGCGGGAATTTTGTCTGAGTTGAAATTATGGTATCAGCATGATTCTTCATCTTGTGTACAATGGTTCTGACCTGTTACAGCCTTCAATTAATCATATGAGAAACATAGAACTCAGCAAGTCTGGGCAAAGTCCCAATAATACTTTGTTGCCATATAAATAAAGATATGCTTTTGCTCGTTTTACTTTGCTGTCGGTGTTCGTTTTATTCTTTGCTTAACATATTCAGAATGTACAGTGTATTGCAAATACTTGATATTTTTTTAGAAATTATTGTATTATCTTAATACAACACACATTTTAAGGTTACCGATAACTATTTTGGTATTCTGAAAATAATGTTACGATCTTTTTTGTTTTATTTCACGCAATGAGCTTCAGAGACAAGATTCAGATCATTTGATTCTATCTCCTTGTTATTCTTTTTCTCTTTGGCCGTTATTTCAGTTTTGTCATAAACACAAATATAATTATATACATATATAGATATTAAATTTCAGAAATTTGATGAAAGGTTAAAATTCCCAATAGGTATCTTTAGCTGAATATTTCATGCATTTTATTATTTCCTTTGGTAAAGCAAAATTAGATCAACAATCCATTTTCTTGTTACTTATCATAGAAATAATGCTGAATTGTAGTTATCTATATAGCTATGTGTGTTACTTCAATTTTTGTTAGTTTTATCTAAAAGTACTTTAGCTGAAGTTGTATAGAAAATGGATTTTAAGTGTAGAGACGTAACGATTTTTAGTTTCAATTATGGTTTTCTTTGTTTTATAGCTGTTTTTTATCTATCTTGTATAATATTTCAGGTTCTGACAAGGTCACGAGAATTGTGTAATAAAATAAATAAATAAAAAAACGTAGAATTCTGATGAAACGTACACAGATACAAACAAACAATAGATATAAATATTAATTTCTTGAGGAAAGGGGTTGCATGTTAGCCCTGTAGCAGAGCTTTGGATTTCGTAGCTGGCGAGCCGGGTTTGTATTTGTGCGATACTACAAAATATTTCCTGAACCATAAGTTGTGGATGTGTTATAAGAGTGACAATCTCTTAGTATATGTGATGGGTGCTGCTGACTGGTTGCTTTCTCTTTGGTTGTTAGTTTAAAATTTAGGACAGCGGCCAGAAGGCCTTAATAGCTTTGCCAAAAATATGAAATACAAATACTTGAGGAAGAAATAATATTATGAAGTAATACTGCCTTTGAAAATGTATAAGTGACTGATTTCTTGAAGATTATCAACTTTTATTTAGAGAATTACTGGTACCATACCCTTCTCTACTTTGTGTGCGACAAAAGTGATTTCGTACATTACCTCAACGTGCCCCTTTTCTCTGTTACTGAAACACGCAATTGTGAATGATTTCAAACAACACAACTTGGATTTCTGATTTAAATATATCCCAAATATTATCGTTCCATTATCATATTTTAATGACTGACAGAGTGTAGCATATGAATGTAGATCGTATCTGCTGACCGTTACTTTGACATCTGACATATGTCCTTGTAGAACCGAAAAAAAAATAGCTTAATTTATTTCTAATTCAATGATATTATAAATCAAAATATTATTTTATTTTTAATATTTATTTGATTGTGTTCCAGGTTAGAGCAACGGACGGTGGTCAACCCCAACGATCAACCTTGACAAGGGTTGTGATAAATGTACTTTCCACTCCTAAAAGCTCTCCGAATCCTCCACTTCTAAAACTTCCTGAAGCTTATGCGAAAGTTAGTGAAAGTGAGAAAGTAGGCCACCTGGTGGTTTTGATTGACGTTGAGGATCCAGATGGTGATAAGTTGTGGTACAGCATCACGAGTAAGTCTTGTATGTTAATTAATTCCTATCTGTAATTTGGATACACAACTTAAATTATAAACGAGAAACATTATATAAGGGAAAGTGTTTTGTGAAGCAAGTTAGTATTCGTAAAAATATAGGTATCTATATTTATTTATTTACAGGATAATATCATTTACGTAGTACTTTAACACGCATTCCTTTATCATAGCGTATAACCATCTGCTTACCTTGAACTGTTTTCGTTCTTCTAATAGTATTTAATTATTAACTTTAACCTCTCACATTTTTTGATACTATTCATACTGGAACAACAAATTTAGGAGATAAAATTTAACTATCATGTCGGTTAACTGTTTTTAGTAGTCTTTTTATTAATCCTTTTCTCCTTTTGCCTTGCTCTTCTACTTCATTAGGAGTAACTACCCTCCAACGGCCCGGCATGGCCAGGTGGTTAGGGCGCTCGACTCGTAATCTGAGGGTCGCGGGTTCGAAACCCCGTCACACCAAATATGCCAACCTCCGCCTTTGCCTGGTCCCAAGTCTAGGATGAGAAAGTTGGGCGCGGGGCTAGTAACTCCACCCCGTAAAAACCAACCTGCTACAAGTAACTGCAACAACACCTTCCGTTGGCGAGGTGTTGTTGCGGCCCTATGCTCCACTGGGAGTTTACAGGTATAAAAAAAAAACTACCTTCCCACAACTGGCTGCTGAAAGGGTAGTGTTAGATGTGGGACACTTTAGACTTAAGTAAACATATCTTTTTTTTTTTCTGTTACGACCCGCTCCCAAACGGCGGTATGTCTGCGGACTTAAAACCGGGTTTCGATACCCTTGGTGGGCAGACCACATATAGAACATTGTGTTTTGTGCTTAACTAGAAACAAACTAATAAACAATCCGTTACGATCTTAATCCCATCTATTTTCGGGTTGGCCAATATTTTTTAAAGTTTTAAGTCAAGAATTTTTACACCCAAATGGCTGGCCCGGTCGGCAACCATATAGGACGAACATGTTCAGCGACAGGGCTTCGAGCGCCCTAACCACCAGCCCATGCAAGACCCTAAGCAACCATATGTCTGCTCATTATTTTTAAATTCAGTTTGTTTTTAATTTTTGTTTTATTTCCCGTATAAGTCTTGATAATAAAGCATGAACCTAAAAGACGATATATTACAACTGCTGTTGGGTCCTGCAGATACTTCTCATAATAGACGATATATTACAACTACTGTTGGGTTCTGCAGATACTTCTCATAGTAGACGATATATTACAGCTACTGTTGGGTCCTACAGATACTTCTCATAATAGACGATGTATTACAACTACTGTTGGGTCCTGCAGATACTTCTCATAATAGACGATATATTACAACTACTGTTGGGTCCTGCAGATACTTCTCATAATAGACGATATATTACAACTACTGTTGGGTCCTGCAGATACTTCTCATAATAGACGATATATTACAACTACTGTTGGGTCCTGCAGATACTTCTCATTTGGCAAGTTCCATTTATGAATTTATTTGTAACATTTCTTGTTTAGTTTTCGTGAACACACACACACACACACACACACATATATATATATAAACTATATACATGTGCCATTCATCCACCAAAAACTCTAATTTCATAGCTGTTACTCTCTTACCATGGTTCATGTTTGTAATACGTCACATAATTTCCGGAATCCCGTATTTCTTGCAGGAAGCTATACTATAAAGTAGTTTTAAATATGCTGATTTAACGCATTTTAAAGCACTGAAATAAAGAATTTCACTAATCTCTAATGAGATATATGCTTGAATTTTATGTGTTCATTGAAATGAAGTACAGTGGTCGTTTGGACATTTTCGCTTAAAACAAATGTTTTTAGGGTAAAAAAAATGTCGAGGGATGCTTTTATTTTTAAATATATTTACTGAAAATTTGTATATCATAAAGTTAAAGCAAACTTTTGTTGTTTGGCTAAAATAATGATATAAACTCCGACGCGTTTTATCACATAAAGGAAATCGCGAAACATTCATTAATGTTACAACCTTTAATCACATAAATCACGTTAGCATTCAAGTAGCTCTATATAATCAGCAAGAGTGTTTCTACCAATTTTAATTTATTGTAAGTTTAGGATTGAAAACTCCGATCGTGCCTTACCAAAATCAACAGTAAGTGTCAATAATGTCTTGATATCCTTGAAGGGGTGAATATTAAAATATTAATGGCCATAAATTAATTTCAGATTTCTAATCTGATTTACGACAATCTTCTTACAGTTAGAGCCAGTGGAAAGGTTAAAAATATAGTGCTTCATTTCATTAGTTTGACATTCGATATTAAAAAGTACTCTTAATATGTTTCATAACAGCCTAGAGTACTCTTCGCCAGATGTTGGTGCTAAATTCTGTGGCCAATATAATTTAACTATTGAGTACTTAATCTAATCTGAACTTTACTGATAAACTTTTATAAGCAATTCTAAGCAACGAATTCAGTTTGATTGAACATAAGGATGTTTGCATTTGAGGAATGTGAAGACGATCATGTTAGTATTGTTCTTGATTACTAGAAGGGTCAATGTAAGTATAAGTTTCGTTCTTTTAACATGTTCTAATGTAAACAAGGGAACCATTTTTTCATGATAATTTTGTGCAGATGGAAATGAAGAACATAAATTTACAATGAGACCTGATGAGAGAGGAATATTGTTAGCAGAACCTTTAGACTGGGAGACTTGTAGCTACTACAACTTAACTGTTAGAATAACGGATGGCGTGTATACTGTAACAACAAAGGTATCTGCTTATCTTTCGATATCTCATTTATAACGATAAAGTAAACTTTATATATATATATATTAGTGTAGCGGTGCTGATAAATACGTTACGCATCTCTTTCACGTTATGTTATACAGTAAACATAATTTAAGCCTGTGTTTCATGCCCGATAAGGTATTCTCAGTAATATATATCTTTTATCTAGGAATTTTGAAGAAAAGGTACAAAAGCTGCATCAACTTAAGTTTACTTGCTTAATTTTTTTCCCTATGTAAACCACTATGAATGAATATGAATCGTCGCAAGGGAATGATATGTTTAAATTCGGTGTTTATATATCACACAGAACTATTAGTGGCTCTATTAAAGAAGATAACATACATAAACTAAGGTACCTTTTTATGGCCTAAGAAATTTAGTGCAAGTGTACTTTCAAAGTTTATGCACGTTATTTAACCGTGGAACTATAAATTCCAGTTGGCAAGTACATCAGAGACAAACGTGTATCTGTATGTAATACATAAATTTGGAAATCGCAAGGAATTGAAAGTATCTAATGCCAATATTTAGTAATTATAATACGTGGACATTAATATGTCTAATGTTATTAATGCGATTTTCTTAATTTATACAACTTTAAAAGGCTTGTTTTGTCTCTCATATAAAGAAATAACGTTTTACAACTTTGAGAGAATACGAAAAAAAGGGAGTTTGAAGATAAATTTACTGTTATTTATTATTCACAAATAAAGTATATTGACGAAAATAACAGAAAATACGCTAGTTAAACACGGTTATAGAGTTATTAGATCGTACTATTTGATAGATTGTTTAGACTGAGTATTCATGATGAATCTTAGTTGAATAGACAGCAACTGCTTGCTATACAAACACAAGGATAGAGGAGGACGTTTCAAAAGTCTTCCACGTTTCGTCCATTCAACTAAGTTTCATCGTTATTAGAGCAATTTTGGATTTAAATATATAAGATATCATTACAAATTTGCGAGTACTTTTTAATACTATTGCCCTATACAGTTGCCAAAATAGCCGTTGTTCTGAAGTGTACACTTATGGATGACAAAATATGTTTAGTTTATATATATATCCGAACTAAACAGAGTATGTTTCACTTCTGTTTATCACCAGATTAAGAGTTGTCCTGGTCCTAGTCTTTTGAACCAAGTATCATAACAAGAAATAAAGAAGCCCAGTGACCATAATATTCTAGTTATTTTACACCTTACATTTAGCGCAGGTTTTTTGTTTAGTTTAAGGTAACTGCTGCGTTAAAATATCCGTGGTGTTTTTTTTTTAATTGGATCTCACATGTCTATTTACAGGTTTATGTCGAAGTCCAAGATTACAATGATCATCCACCAGTTTTTGAACAAATGATATACCATTTAACGGTTTCTGAAAATGTTGAAGTTGGAACAATACTTGTACAGCTATCAGCTACAGATCTGGATCAAGATAAAAGGCTGTTTTATTCCCTGTATAACAGGTATATTACTTAAGTAAACAGGAATGAAAGCAATAAAAATAATAGTCTTCATCTCGTAGAGTTTGCATATTTCTGGACCATATTGCTTTACTCAAATGTTTGAACTACTTTAAAAGCTACGGATAACTAGCTTCTCCATCAACGTTACACCAGAATTAAGTAGTTTGGACTTTATCACCAATAACATCAATCTGGTGTAATCAATTCTGAGTTAATGATAACCTTAGAAATTCTCTCAACGTTAACCTTCTCATCTCTGCAGATGTTTCATTGAATAATACAATAACAATAGTTTTTTCTGGAACATATCTAATACTTCTTTCTTCTGCTATCTCGAATTAATCAGCAGTTGCTTCAGATTAGTTTTATTTTATCTTTATTTCTCTTTCGTAAATATGAGTAAGTTATAGTAACATTTTAAGAATTTTACATACAAAACTGAAATTAGTAAATTTATTATTGTAAGTTTTCAAAATAAAAAACAGCTCGTCAGTTCTCTGTATATACGAAACTACATGTGTACAGTGAATTATTTAGTTGTTGCTTTTTTAGCGCAAAGCTACATAATTGGCCATCTGCGTTCTGTCTTCTGCGGGAATTCTAGTTCCGGATTATAAGTCCGGATTCTTGCTGCTGATCCACCGGGGGTCCTGTATACAGTTGGGAAAATACAATTGAATTATTTAACTTTGGTTTTTATTTATAACAACTTAATAAATACTTTTCTGTTCTAGTTTTGAATATAATAATTTTCTAATAAAAAACTGATTTTTAGTAACACGTCTTAAACTTGTTAATGGAATTACCTGTTTATTTCACACTTCTATTATAATTATGTCACTAATTGATTTGAATTATAGTAAAAAGAAGTGAGAAACTAATTCGCGGTCATAAGATAACTTGAAACAAATTTTCCAACTTTATCAATCGTCCTTCACTGATAAAGTTGTGATATGTAGTGCTAACAATACCAGTTCGAATATGTAAACGAATCCTTATACATTTAAAGGTGATACACATCTATAATTATAATGACAAGTGTACATTTTATCGCATAAGAACATTGTATACCTTAGAATATGCATTTTGTTCTTTGATAGTTACTTATTTTACATATGATTTTTAAAAATATGTTTACTTAAATTTCGAATTAACACTTATTTTGATTTTTACTTTTCAAAACAAAAAATTCATAATGTATATTGTAGATATTTGTAAACCCAAATAAGCAATTCAGTGAAGCTTGAGCATAATTCAAATTCATTTTTATTTAATATATATTAGTTCTTGAAGAGTTTAATGTTAATCAAAATAGCACAATATTAATCACACTAGTTATGGATTATACAAATTTTAAACTTGTTTGCACTTTTCATTTTGCAGTTTTGTATTTTAAAAATTTTAGAAGTTTCGATTTTATATGGAAAAGAAATGGTAAAAAATTCTGAAGCTAATTACTGATTTATCATAATGTATTAACAGTGAACTTGTAAACTTTAACAAGTATAGCTTAAACGTGCACAAGATTGCAATATGAATTAAAATAAATGACAGAAGAACACGACCCTGCTGTAACATACGATCAAACCTTTCTGAGTCAGATTTTTTATGTTCACAGAACCGCGTCTCTACGGATCAAGCAATCCTGCTGCTATAACAAAACAAACCTGCTGTGATGTTTAAGTAAGCTTGTCTTCGATTCACAACAGTCGTATTTAAACAAACTTGTCTGTGATTCAAAATATACTTACTGTCGTATTTAAGCAAGCTCGTCTCCGATTCAAAACAAACCTGAACGTGCGTCCTTGTGGCTATTTCTATGTTAAAACGAACATGTTACTTCGATCAAACAAACACGTGTATCCAAAACATCAATTCAAGAGAGTTTAATCCAAAAAATTCACAAGTGTGATTGTCACTAATTTATTCTTTCTTTTGTAGTCAAAATACGATCAAGATAAGTATGAGAAGTATACCATTAAATCCTAAATGTAAATATAATATCCATTACTTTACAGTAGGAAAATATTACATTACATCTGATATAAATTTGGCTCGAATACGTGTTACTAGATTTATTTGAGCGTAATAGATAGAAAGAAAACATTTGGTTAGCCATCAGAACTTGTATCTTACGTTGATAACTTTGTTTGGATTGAATTTAATCATTCAAATATTTGTTTGATAAAATTTTTGTTTGCTAATATATACGTGAAGAGTTCTCAATGTTTAGAACCTCGAGCAATTATTCATAGCAATATGTATGCAAATTAAACAGTATGAGGAAAGGTTAGATAACGAATGTATATTTCTGCTTTTGAGACATAAGAATGCTGGAATTGATTAGTCGCTGTTGGAGACTGTACAGAAGATTTATGTTAAAACAATTCCCAATAGGTTTTACTTTAAAGAAGTTTATAAAATGCTTCTACCTATCGGTGGTTTTTCTTTCTTTTCAAATGTTTCCAATCTAAATAACTATTCTGACTATTTTTGTTTATCATAAAAAGGTTAAGAATCCTATATATTATTTGTCCAGTGAAACTAGTGGAAATAATCCTTGCTAAAAACTCGCAAAATGCTTTAATAAATAAATATTCAAAATGGATAAAGAAGTCATTTTCATTTATTAAAATCTAAAGTTATGTTGTTATTGTTCACAATATGCTGTAATTTCGAAACAAGTCCTTGTTAAAACTGCAAGTTTTAAGACATTAATGTTTTTATTTTATTTTTCTCCATCGTGTGATAGTGCAGCTACTTCCAGTCTTCGGATGTTCCATCTGGACGAAGTAACGGGCGTTCTATCGGTAATGGAAGAGCTTGACCATGAACTAATTCATCAGCATATTCTAACAGTATTAGTGAAGGATCGTGGGACTCCTGCAAAACGAAACTTTGCAAGAGTAATCATTGATGTAGAAGATCACAACGACCATTCTCCAGAGTTCCTGCTGTCTTTGTTTGAAGCTCCCGTGCTCGAGACAGCAGCAGTTGGGACCTCTGTTGTACAAGTATCGGCGTTTGACAGAGATAAAGGAAGAAACGCACAAATCTGTTTCTCACTCATTTCCGGTAAGGTACATTATAAGTTCTGAAGAGTAAACTTTCTTATCTCATCTTGGTTCGGTGACGAAACCTCTGAAACTACCAATCAATTGGTTCGTTATTATTATAATACATAATGTTTGAAATAATTATAATTAATAATTATAGCAATGTAATTCAGTTTTTGGAAGGTCCCATCTTAATTACTTAGTCTTAGGTTTTCAGATGAGAGATGTCTGAAACAAATATAGCAATAATATCATTACGGATACAACCTAAGAAAACAAGAGTCGCCTTGACTGACAACTTTTATTACATCAGGTGTATATCTGTTTAAAATACAAAGTTAATTTATTGAATTTTTTTCTTGAAAATAATTATCGGTTTTCTATTATTTTATCAGAAATGTAAGGCTGATTAATTAAACGATTGCATTCCGTCATTTTCTAATTGGAATATCTTGCTCAAACAACACCTAGATAAAAACTCGGTCACTGAGCATGGAACATGTTTATTTAAAACTTCGTCGTATGCACTGACATATAAATGTGCTGACACATCACAAATAGATTCCATGCCTATTGTTCAGAATGTATCTCACACCATTACAGTAGAAATGATTAAAGTTTAAAGCTCTGTATACCAACAAACATATGCAACACACATGGATACTTATCACTTCCCATCACGGGTTTTTTTCTAAGACATCACTTTACAACTCTTGTTTAATCAGCCTACAACAAAGCCTATCGTTGTTAAGATCGATTCAAAATCAGTTTGCTTTCCCTCAGAATTTCTGAGAAACAGAAATGATAAACATACATTATACAGTGTAAAATTATTTAGTTTTAAATGTAATTCACTTACAAAATATGTTCAAAGTAATAACATAATGTTGATAGGTTTCGGAAATGATTGTGTAAAAATAAACAATCACCTATCTATATATATGTATAATATAATAACCCAAGTATGAAGATATGCCTTACTTGCCTTTAAAATTTATTTTGAGCAATTGTGGAGTTCTAAATTTAAAACCTATATAAAAACAATTCTAGGAGTAGATTAGCATGAAAAAAATGCGCTTGAAATATATTTTATCTGTAATAATCTCAGTGAGTAAGTGTAGATTCTTTCTTTATTGTACCAAAATAAACTTAATAAAACTGATCACATGTAAAGAAATGGTCTTTATTGGTAATCTAAGCATATTTTGCCTTAGAAGGTTTTGTGAAATTCTGCTAAGATAAAAGTAACTATTTAGCCTAAATTAATATATATTTTTGATACCTTCACAGAAAACCTATACTTCATTCTGAGTATGCACATTAAAGAAAGTTTTATCAATAAAACATCAAAGTCTTTAAATAATCTTGAAGTCGTGAAATTTCAAGTACATTTTTTAGCCTATGTGCAGAGTCATGTGTTTTTTACATGATAAGAAACTGTATTGTATGTCTAAAGACTCGAGTTTAGCTGTCAGACTGACTCGCATCCAAATGCCTTCAGTGTAGTTTATATGTTGAACGTACCAGTGATTCATCAGATGTTAACTTAGACGAGAGAATAAACGGTTTAACATGCAATAATTGCATTTGAAAGTAAAACAAAAAAATGCAAAATTATTATTCGCCAAGTTATCATTTTAGTTCATTAAACTTGTTTTTCTGACATTTTTTACAGGGAACTTTGGAAATGCCTTCATGGTTGACCCTAATCTTGGTACTGTTTTGGTAGCCAGAAAATTAGACCGCCTTACGATGCCAGAATATTTTCTCGTTCTAAAAGCTTCTGACAATGGGTTACCTTCTCTAAGTAGTACAGTCCACGTTCGAGTAGTTGTTACATTAGCTGATGATGCTGCACCTAAGTTTTCTAATGAAGACTATTCAGTAAATATTTATGAAAATGTAAAAGTTGGAACCGTTGTTATGACGGTTTCAGCAACAAGTCGTTCTTCTGTTTACTACGAGATTACATCTGGAAATGAAGAAGGGCGTTTTTGCATAAACCCTCACTCTGGCGTTATATTTACTATTTCCGAATTGGATTATGAACAAAACAAATACTATAACCTGACAATTCAAGCCATAAACCTGACTGGAAGAAATTCAAGTCGAACCGCACTCATCCAAATATTAGACTATAATGACAACAGGCCTATTTTTTTAAAGTTAGATTATCATGGAGAAGTAAGTGAGGCTGCAGAAGTTGGTGCCTTAGTTTACTCGAACGATAGCACTCCATTGGTGATAGTGGCTGGGGATAAGGATTCCAACATCAACTGCCACTTGCATTACGAAATTGTAGAGAATATAGCCAAGAATTTCTTTAAGATTGACTCCAGCACAGGTAAAATTCTGTATTACTCTTATTTCAAAGTCAACTCTTTTTTTTTACCTTTTTATGATTTTTCCACCTATACATTGATTTTATTAGGTAAAGGAACCGATGAACAAATAAGTGCACATTTACGAATATGTAATTGTGCTCTATTTCCGAGATTTAACATAAAACACACAGGAAAATATACGCTGAAAATATCTAATTTTATCAATAATCAAAAAATTTAAAGATTTTTATTTAATCGAATTTTAAGGGCTAAAGCAATAATTTCTGTAAGTGCCTTAATATAAAAGATCACATGAATTAGTATTTGTTACATGAGACATAAGATTGCACTCTAGAATGTTATATTTTTAGTTTCATTAAACAGATGAATCATTTATAAGGTAATTTCCTACTATACATAATACTATAGAGTATTGGAACTAAAATTGCAAAAGGGTGAGGAAAATGAATTTAAAAGGCCAATACTGAAGGATTTTCACTCCTTTATCGAGAGGAAATTAACTGAACCAGAGTTCAGTCACGTGTTTATAGTTTGCACTGTGATTTATAAAAAGCTATTAAAATGCTGTATGTCATATTATGCCAAGTAGTAGTAGTATGAATCAAGTCATGGCTTCCATGGCTGAAATACTACATGACAAGTTTGTAGAAATCAAAGTTTCGTCTGTTTAAAAATACTCCATGCAAAAAAATTGTGCATGACTGCATATTTAGGTAGGATCTGTATTTAAAACTCTGAAGAGGGTACGAGAAACTGGCACTGTTAATAATAGAAAATGATTAAAGTGTAAAACTGGAACTCAACAAAAAGGTATATTCAATACGAGATAGAAAAATAGAGGTCTTTCCAATGGCCTTGTTGTAAATACAGGTGTGAATGTTACCTCTAGAACAGTAAGATATATAGTACCATGAAGTGGTCTCAATAGACGTGTAGCTTCTCGAAAACCACTTCTGAGAAGAAGTAATAAAATCAAAAGGCTGATATAGGCATTAGCCCAGAAAACGTGAAATGAGTAAAGCTGGAGATGTCCACTCTTTACAGATGATTTCACGTTCGAACTGCGTAACAGCAATCAACGACAGTTGATGACAACATAAATGCTGACAAGTACAAGCATATTCTGATTCAACATATCACTATTAATTTGTTTGGGGATTCATCTTCTTGCAAGACCAGTGATTAAAAACATACAACAAATGACATAGTATGACAGAAAGAGGTCAATAAAATAACAATGGCTTAGTCTTCATACATTCTTGATATGAACTGATAAAACCTGAAAAGGTCTCCAAATAACTTCTCTGTCTTATATTAATTAACTGTATGCCAACATAAAAATAATTTGTAGTGCTCCTTGTAAAGCAAAATACTCACATAAGAAATACTACTGCATTGTACAAATTGTTAATTTCTTTTATTTTTCTATAGTAATCTCTTATATTATAATAATTATACATCTGGTTACCAGTCCTCGTTGTTTTTTATTCCTGTATATATATCTATGGTATGCTTCTATAATTATTTCAATTACTTTTTATACTTGAAGTTGCAAGCTGAAAATATTTTAAGTTACATTTCAATATGCATAACATAATCGTTGTGGCACACCTCATATAAATCGCTGTATAGTATCATACATTTAATAACATGGAATTAACTATGTACCTTAAATGTTAGGCCTTCATCGACTCAGCAGTAAGTCTGAAGGCTTATAATGCTAAAATTGGTTTTGATACCCGTAGTGAGTACAACACATGTGGCCCATTGTGCAGCTTTGTTCTTAATATCAAACAAACAAATAAACAAATATATTTCTGGCTGTCTTTATGATCACTTAGTTCGTGATGGGCTATTTCGTAAAGACATGAATGTAACAAAATTCTAACGATATTTATGACTTATCTTTTCAAGAACAATACCCTCTGACCTCATAAAAGACAAAAGTTTATTTGATGCCTTTGTAAAAAACACAAAAACTCTAGGACGAACGATCCATGTTGAATGGTTTTTTTTTAGTTTTGTGTGTGGATATGTTCTCTTTCTTTGTGTAGTTTTGTTACTACAAAACATGAAAAGTTTCTATTAATTACTTTTTTTTTTACTTGGAATATGTTGTATTGTAGAAACTGCTTCCTGTCTCTATAAAGAGTAGTCTGTTGCCAGAAAAGTCCGGAAAAGTAAGAGAGCGGGAAAGAAGATTGAGTTAGGACAGTGAACAAGCTTGACATTTTAAAATACGTTTTGTCAGCTTGACTTCCGTTGTAAATAATACCTTAATATTTTATTAAACTTTTTTATTTCCCATTGTGGCTTAATCGTACGAGTAAATCACAGAAATAATGATAATAAATGAAAGACCAAATTTTACCAGCGCAGTAAACTGCAAGAAGCTCTTGTAGGGCAACTTTATTTCCAGAACATAAAATGTCACAGTCATTAAGTATACTTTGGTGCCATTGTTGTCAGATTAAGATTAAGAACCACGGGTTGCTATTCCTTGTGCTGTTTTTAGTAATCACCAGAAATATGTTTGCTTGTTTGTTTGTTTTATATTTGTGTGATGAGATAAGAAAAATATTTTGGTCCACCAAAAATTGGTTCTTTATTTGGACAATGTTTGTACCTTAGACATTGTTTGTTGTCATAAATGTATTAGAAATGTCTAAAACATAATTCTATGTCGAAAAAAATTGTTTCTCGTTGGAAACACTTTATTAATATAAATAATGTTATGCTGATTTTAATATTTTGATTTTAATTTATATGACAGTAAACTGGAGAGCAAGAAAGTAGTTTTTCCTTACTTTCTGATTGTAAATACTTTAAATAAATTGCATATTGTACCAATTATTCAGGATATAACACGCCAGGAAACTGTTACATATAAATCCTTATTCAGAATTTCCATTTCCCAATATGTGTGATAAATTAGGTTGTATTTACTTGCAGGGACTCTCAGAGTAGCTCGACACCTAGACTATGAAAAAATGTCAGAATTCCATTTCCGAGTCCAAGTTTTTGATAGTGGTAGTCCTAGACTCGAGGCAGAAACCACAGCCCACGTTCACGTCCGCGTTACTGATACGAACGATTCTCCCCCTCAGTTCGAACTGAGGCAGTATGACGCCTACATATTTTTACCGACTTACAATAACGTCGTGGTTACTCGAGTAAAAGCTCATGACGTCGACTTGTCGATAAATAGTGTTTTAAAGTATAAAATTGTATCAGGAAACACGGGTGGTAAATTTTTTATCAAGGAAAACTCAGGTGAAATATTTCTTAAAGAACCACGTGCCTTACAAAATTATTATTCTTTAATAGTTTCTGTTAGTGATGGAATATTCGAGGCAAGCACAAAAGTCGTAATCCGAGTGAGGAAAACAGAAAACAGTGGGCTTGTATTTGACGAAATAAAATACACCAATGAAATCTTTGAAAATACGACAGAAGTTATGATCGTTGCTGTCATTACGGTTTTAAGTGTTGGTTTGAACGAGCATTTAACATTTAACATACTCAATCCTTCAGACATGTTTGATATTAGCTCAACGTCTGGCGTTCTCCGTACCACTGGAAGACCTTTCGATCGAGAAGTCAAGGAAAGATATACGTTAGTGGTGGAAGTCAGAGGCGATGCTACAGGTGAACTTCAAGTCGCTCATGTTCTGGTGGAAGTCACTGTGCTTGATGTAAATGACAATGTCCCAATATTTGTTAACTTGCCTTACTACGCAGTAGCTCCGGTGGAAGCACAGCATGGTGATCTGATCTGGAAAGTAAGATTTTTGTGTTTTATGTATGATTTTATCCAGAAGTTCTGATACTAAAGGTCTGGATTGTGGCAGACTTGAACCTCTTAAACATGTTCTAGGTATAGAATAAATGTAATCGAGTTTCTTTAAGACAACCAACATCTATGAATTTCTTCTCGAACTTTTGTCTGTATGTCTTCTGATTTCCTGCCACACCTTACCTGAGTTTCAGACTTCTTGTTGACACCGTTTAGAAATGATAAAGTTAAATAAATGAAGTATACCTGTTGGAACTTCGAAATTGTAACCTAATTTTCTTATTGTTTCCTGATGATCAATTGTCGTTTCCTTTTCGAATTAGAGCCCTTACGGCTGCAGTTTTAGAGGTATAAATGAAATAGGTGGTGAGAGCAGCTTGACGACAGCCCCACCCTCCATTTTTTTAAAGAAAATCTGCTAATTTACAATTATGTTCGACTTTATAATCCGAAACGGTAGGAGTAGGAAATGTGACACGCAAGTAGGAAATACTGAACGATTTGTAATGTAGGATTTTTAAGATAAGGCCAGCCCACATTATTTTACTTTGTATACTTCGAAAACACCAGAAAATATCGTCAACATTTTTAAATATCGTGACGAAGAATTCGGGTTTGCCTCTGAATCTGAACTTCGTAGTACTTTTCATATCTATTTATTTATTTTTTGATGATGTATATTTCTATAATGACATTTGTATGTCATTGTCCTACGTTCTCTCAAACAATTATATTTATTACAATCATTACAACTGGAATTGTTTTTGAAATTAAAAATAATTAATTATACACTAATCAGTTGAGAATATAGTTTCATTATTGATAAATTACAATGCATTACAAAAAAAAATAACAAACGTATATTCCAATAAAGATTCAACATCGGCTTGAGTTATATCCATATGTACAATGTGTAAAGTTGGATTTTCTTCCGCCAGAAGTCTGCATTCCTGAAATACAGTTTTTTTTATTATTATCATTATATTTTAATCTGGGCGTGGCCTAGTGGTTCAGCGTGCCGATCAGTCAATTTGAGAATGCATAACACGTTAGGGCTATGAGAGCTTTATATGAGTAATGGTCAAATTCCCCTATTCGATTAGAGTAACTAAGTAGTTGGCGAGGAATGCTATTGTCTAGTTGCTTGTTCTCTAGCCTATCAGTTCAGAATTAGGAGCAATACGCAGATAGCCCTTATATAGTTTACGCGAATATTCGAAACAAACTAAAAATCTAAATCTTGGACACTTAGTAGAATACAAATATGCCAACTATCTTGGTGTGAATTCATTATATTAGACTTTACACTTTAATTTTTTTTCGAGGCAGTTGATAAAACGTGCTTTGGATCTCATTTAAACATATACAAAGAGTTCTTTGCATAACTTTGTACAAGGAATGTAATTTTGGTGGAGAGCAAGAAAGTTTTTCTTTTGTTTTTGCAAAGCTTTCACATAAAATCACGAAAGAATAATGCAGCATTACATAAGAGCTGTAATGAAGCGTAAATATGGTGTCTAAGAGTTTAGATTGAAATAGAAAATATGTGATTCAAAGGACAGGTGATTCGGTAGAGGAAGCTTTGACTTGTGCACACACCTAATTTATTTCTATATTAATATTGATGGGTTTAACCCACAGATTATCAAAGGGACTTATATAACGACTTGGTAAAATCTACTAACAGTATTATAATGATGAATTGTAAAACATCAAAGCTTATGTTTTACTCAATCTCACTTTTTTATCACGAAAATTAAAAACGAAACGTTTTATTAATTCAGTGAGGAAATCTACCAAGCAATAAAATAACTGCAGGTTGAGTTGTACGCAACACAGTTAAAATCTTGTTACACAAATAAAAATAATTTGGATTTGAATAAACCAACGCCGTAATCACTTTTATGTGAAGATTACGACAAATCACATAAGTATATAGAATTTACGCCTAACTTTCTAACCTCCTTACATATATTCTAGCTTCAGATAATGTTACTATCCTTCTTCACTCAATAAACATAGTCGTATTTAGCAAAACGATTAACGTTTGAAACTTTTTATTTTACATGGAGTTACCTGTCTACCGATGATTAATCGAAACGCAGAACAAGCAGCTTCTGTTTAGACGTTCCAATAATAATGGAAACGCTCTGTGAAGTTTTCTTGAACACTTTAGCTTAGCTTACGTAGAACGATTTCCTTTATTTGCTCTCAAATCGATTATAGACGACACTTTTTATTGGAAAAGTGAAAAACTTTATCTGGATTTTAGAAAAGTTAAAGAAATAAACAAAGTTCATGCATGGAACAAAGAAGGCCCGGCATAACTAGGTGGTTAGGGCGCTCGACTCGCAATCTGAGGGTCGAGGTTCGAATTCCCGTCCCACCAAACATCTTCGCCCTTTCAGCCATGGAGACGTTATAATGTGACGGCCAGTCCCACTATTGTTGGTAAAAAGAGTAGCTCAAGAGTTGGCGGTGGGTGGTGATGAGTGGTTGCCTTCCCTCTAGTCTTTCACTGCTAAATTAGCGCAGATAGCCCTCGTGTAGCTTTGCGCGAAATTCGAAACAAATAAACAAACAAGAAATTCCTATTGTGTTACTGACAATGATTTACTCAGTTTCAGTGCAAAGATTTTACTCCTCGTATAGCTCAGTATATGTGTATATAGAAAGATTATTTATTTTATATTTTCCGAAAAACTTCTCGAGGTCTACCTGTTAACCATCCCTAATTTAGAAGTGATAAGATAGAGGGAAGGTAGCTAGTCAACACCACCCTCCGCCAACTCTTGAGTTACTCATCATCAACGAATAATGGGATTAGCCGTCACATTATAACGCTCCCACAGCTGAAAGGGCAAGCATATTCAGGAACTGGGTTCGAACCCACGACCTTCAGATTGCAAGTCGAGTACCCTATCCACCAGACCATGTCAGGCCTAGATAGACAGAAAGAAAGTGATACGATGATTAGATTATTCTCTTTTTTGTCACATTTTATTTAATCAGGTTCAGGCAGTGGATAACGACCTAGGTTTGAACAAGTTAATAACCTATAAACTTGCAAGAAGTAGCACTGATATATTTGCTGTTGATGGTAGACTTGGGGAGATTCGACTTCAACGTCCAGTCAGGACTGACGTCAAGGAATACATCTTGACTATAATTGCTGTCGACAATGGTAAGAAAGTCAATGTGATCGTTGTCACTGTTGTCAGTATTAAAATCATAATGCAGTAGTAATATAATAGTAATACAAAGAAATCAGATGACTGTAGATAAAAAGTTTGCCTTTATCCATAATCTAGTAACTGATCATTAGGTGGCATGTATATTATCCCATTCTAATTAACAGTTGGAGGTTATGTTACAAAGTTCATAATGTAATTACTGATCATTTATGTGGCGTGTATGTTATCTCATTCTAATTCATAGTTGTAGGTTATGTTACAAAGTTTACTTTTTCTATGCAAGGGCGAAACGTAGGCTAAAATAAAAAAATTATTTATTATTATCTGAAGAGTAAAGACATTTTCCCTAACTTCATTACCAAAATGAAATTTATCTTCAAATAACGTTTTTAACAAAAATAGTAGTTTCTCCTTTATTGGTTATTAGCTAGTTAGGCATTCTAGATGAAGACAAATAAATTAATAATGTTTTTGTTCTCTGTGTGTTGTTTTGTCGTCAATATACAATAGGTAATCCGCCACTTCAAAGTGAGGCTACAGTACATATTAAAGTGATTAGTCAGGACACGCCCATTTTTCTTCAGCACTTCTTCAGCCGGATGGTTCCAGAAAACACATGTTGTAATATTCCTTTGTTATCTCTTGGAGCTAATAGTCCATATGGCCATCAAGTCGTTTATAGTATTGTTAGAGGAAACGAAGAGGATCTTTTTGATATCGATTTTCAAAACGGTAAGTTTTATATATACATGATGTAAGTTTAAGATCAAAAGTAAAACATAGATAGTGAGCTTTCCAAAACCATTAAATGACATGTAGCACAAATTTTCACTTTGGTTTTGAAATATAAAAAAAAATTGAGAACTCGTACAGTTTTTCTTCTACTTCTTTGTATATTTATTTTTCTCGATATTTTCAATCTGGGCTACAAAATCGCTAGTCAAATCCTTCAATAGAGTATATTAGGTAGGGCTTTCCATCTTTATACAATCGAAGGTAATACTGTTATCAAACACTTTCTATATCATGAAGTTTTTTGTACATATGCGCTATCCAAGTATATTTTGAAAACTTTTCATGGACATCAAACAAAGACTTAAAATTATCGATTCGAATAGTAAAATTAAAATTAATTAATTCAAGATGTATATTTTTCCCGAAAGCTTTTAGTCTAGAACTAATTACATAAGTATTTTCTTACATAAGTTATAAATTGTATATCGATTTGAATTCGAAAAACTACAAGTTTAAGTATGTATGTAAAATCAGAAGAAAAACAATAGATACTTCTAGAATATACTTCTTCTATTTTGAAACTGTACAGAAAGTATCAATACGTAGTAAAGGCCAGTTTTATATAGTATCATGTTCTTATCAAACTGGTACAAGAGCAATGAAACTCCAAAATTCGGAACTTTTATAATTAATACTTGATGAAGAAGTGTACTTGATTCAAAATAATGGAAAAGTATTTGATTGCAAGGTCGAATTAAACGTTAATTAATTTCACCACAAACCTTTAGCAAAACAATTTTGTTAGAAATAATCTAAACTGAGTTAGAAATTAAAAGGTAAGATTTAATATTTTCGATAAGCTACATCAAACCTCTTATTAAAAACACCTTATCAACACAAATCAAACAGCTTGTGATAAATCTTAATTTTACATCAGTTTTTAATATCATTTAAGAATAATATATGCAAACGGAAAGTTTGCTGCTTTAAATAGATTTTAAAATATTATCTTTTACGAATTAGTGAGAATACTTTTAAAATGAACATTTAAGAGTTCGTAGGTATTATCACATTTAATGATTTCTATGGTAAATAAAGTTCATTTTTCTTTAAATAAATACATAATTGTGGTTAGCTTTATCAACAAGAACAAGTACACTCTTAGGTATGGATTCTTAAGGTAATATCAAAAGTTTAAAAAAGTGTGGAATGCATATATTTTTTTTAAATCCTATTTATTACATATTCAAGAATATATAGAACTCTACTTTTACATTCAATGAAAGTATGAGTGAGGAAACCTAGGTGAGAACCGAGATTAGTAATAATGTATTTGTCATCATGTTATTTAATTGTCGTTTTAACTTTACTTGCATTTAAATTAGAGGTGATCTTTCTTTTTAGCCAAACTACAAAAAATGTGAATTCTTCAGAAGTATATTTTTTTTAAATCATATATAACCTTTGTAATACATTTTTTCATGGTATCAAGATATTCAACCAATTTACACTGTCTTTGTTAATAAGGAATTAGTATCCAGTAGAACTGTTATACTTAAATAAAACTCAAGAAGCTTTTAATTGAAGGAAAACCACTTTTCATGCTTTTATTTTAGAAAGTTGAAGGAATATTATTTGTCGAGGACTGTTTCAAAACATATTACAGCAGAATAAAAACAAAAATGTTGTTTTCTTGACTTCTGAAAACTTTTATTTTAGTTTTAGTTTTACACATTGATATACATGAGAGAATACAAAAACTGTGAGAAAGAATTAGCAACAAAAACTCTAAAACTGATAATATTATTCTTATCTTGTTGATTTCTTTAAAAAATTTAAGTATTTGAAATTAACCCTGTTAAATTAACAGCTGCTTTTCAACTATTTCTATTAATGATACAATTAATTTTTATTTAACTGGACATTTAATAGCTTTTTTTTTCAATATATTCTATGGCGTTTGTACACATTTTAACAATAGTTTTGTGAACGTTCATCTTCACTATTTTAAGTAATATTTCATTTTCTGTGGTTTGGTATCTGTTAAAAGAATACTTTTGCGGTTAATTAACGAAAATCAAGAGATGCGGACACTCCTGTCTTAGCTGAAACTGTGTACTTTATAGACAGATGCTGCATGATATTTTTAACACCTGCTACACGAGCCAGCCTAGCATCTTCATATGGATCCAAAAACATGAGTCATTCCAGAAAGGTTTGGGTTGTTTTGATTAGACAGAAAGAAGTCGTTTGGCACTACTTTCGAAGTCTAGATCGCTGGACTAGACCCCAGCACCTGAACCGAAACCATGAAAGCCAACATGGAGACGTTAAATTGTAAATTAAAAGTAAAACGATGTAGCAATGAAACATGCTTGAAGTGTTCTAGATGTGGTTGTGAATGTGATGGTTTAAGTGTAACGATTAGGTTAAACAGTGGATCCAGGTCGGATGAGGTAAGAACTCATTCGAAGATTTCCCAATCGATTTGATATACCATCTGCATAGAAGATGTTCAATTAATTACTACATTGACAGCGAAACAAAAAACAATGGGTACGATATTATCGTTATGTTTAAAAAGGTGGATTGGAATTATATATATAAGAAATCATTAGTTTCAATATTGTGTGAAACCAACAACACAGTAAAGATCAACGATGCAGTGTTGAATTTGAAACAGATGCACGATGCATTACAAGATGATTTCTCTAACGATTCTCAAATTATAAATGCCATTTCTGCAATGATGAGTAAATATAAGAAGGATGGTATGATGCCCAGTTTGGTAACACCATAGTATAAACGAAATAGATTTCATTATGTCATATTTTCATTAATATTTAGTTGTTTTTGTTTTTTGTTTTAGAAGTTGTGTCGAGGTCAATCGAACTAACCCTAAATCACCGGATTCCGGAATGACACCCCCCATTAACCATCTTAGGCTCAGTACTAAAAGATGCTGGGCTGGCTCATATGGCAGATGTTAATTATTTTAAACTTTAAGTAAAGGTGAATTTTGTACTTCAATCACGGAATATGTTTGTCTAACGCTTATCACAACTAATAAAAGTCATTGTTTAATGTTCTTATCAAAAGTAAAAGTAATTTGCATGAACATTTTATCATTAATAATTATTCTTTGATTTCTTACATTTTCATGCCTAAGAAAAAGACTTTTTTTTTTACAGATATTATATTTTGTTTGATTTGTTAATGAACGTTAACGAGGATTTTTTTACTTCTATTAGTATATTAAATGCCTAGAAATAATTCCTTCTTGTTTAATAAATAGTTAGAAATTTCTCAATGTTGTTAGAATAAGTTCATTCAACAGTAAACGACGAAAAATATAAGTTCTCTAACGAACGTATTAATTCAACATTAGATAACGAACCTTAACATAAACACGTATACACACAAACATATATACACACACACACACACACACATGTGTATATATAGCATAAATTTTGAAAATTATCTAAATTTAAAGCTTATGGGCAGGGCGTTATTTAGTGGTTAGTGGCTCGAATTGTGAATACGATGATCCATAGTTAGCCTCTTTTATTTAAAAAGATCGCACAGCTCAGTTTGGGGCAATGGGTGCGCCACACTATTCACCTATAGTAGCATAAAAATTGGCGGTTTGAGATCGGTCGGGCCTGGCATGGCCAAGTGATTAGCGCACTCGATTCGCAATCTGAGGGTCGCGGGTTCGAATCCCCGTCCCACCAAACATGCTCCTCTTTCAGCCGTCGGGGTGTTATAATGTGACGACCAACCCCACTTTTCGTTGGTAAAAGAGTAGCCCAAGAGTTGGCGGTGGGTGGTGATGACTAGCAGCTTTCTTCATAGTCTTACACTGCTAAATTAGGGACGGCTAGCGCAGATAGCTCTCGTGTAGCTTTGCACGAAATTCTAAAAAACCCAAACCATGAGCTCGGTCGTTTCGCCTCCCCCCCCCCCTAGTTTATGAGTTGAAAATTACGGACGACAAGCACAGCAAGCCTTTGAATAGCTTTAAGCAATTATCCGAAACAAACAATTTTTACTTCTATCCAGCTGCAAAAAAAAAGAGGGAATGAAAAGTGTTAAGCGTCCAACAACTTTTCTTTCTTTAGATAAATATAAAATATCCGAAGGAGAAAATAAAAAACTTTGAAAGTTATCTGTAGTTTCATTATTCTATGCAATCCTTAATCATCCTTAAACGGTCTAGCCTAACAAATCCAACATAATTTATAATGTAAATACATATTGTTCAAGAATCAAGAATATCTCACTCATTCTGGTAAAAAAAGTACTTAAGAATAGGTAATGACAATCGTCTTTTCATTTATGGTCCCGTTTTTCCTTCCATGCAAAGTTAACAACTAGCCACAAAATGGCGGCTGTTATGATAATAAATTACGTTCAAATCTATAAAGTTTGAGACTTTTTTCTAGAGAAAAAGCAAGCAAATGACTAAAAATATCCATTCAGGAACCTACACAAGCTGAAAAACTCCATCTATCTCATAATGTATGAAACACAACCAACAATAATGACAACTAACTAAGACGATCGTAAAGAACATTTCAAAATAATAAACCTTCAAATCAACACTCATAAACAAAATCTTATCTATTGCCTAATACTTTAAGAAGCCTACTGAAGTGATTAAACAATTAATGATTCATTCAATTACCCTCACTTCCTATTACTTGACGCTTATTTATGTAACGGACACTAAAAAACGCTTAAAACGGCAGGGGTCATTTCAAAATATATCTCATAATGCCTGGAATGATCAATACCTTTCTCAGCCTTGTTTCTGTGGTTTAAAACAAGTTTTATAATAGGCATATATCTATAATGTGTTATGACAAAGAAAATTACATACATACATTATTGGAGTCAACAATTGCCAGTGACTGGAAATTGCGACTATGACAGGGTCATCATTTTTTTTACTTGCAAAAAGTTGCAGTCCCGTATCTTTTAACTTGCATCTAAAAAGGCTTAAGTCCTAAAATATGACGGAGAGAACCTCAGATATAAACGCTTGGTTTCTGTGATTTTCAAATATTTTAATTATATTTCAGGTGTTATCTTCGTTACTGATGAGTTGGATTATGAAACTTCCACTGAACACTATCTGACAGTGAGAAGCACAGATTCGGCAACTGGAGCCCACACAGAGGTACTAGTACATATCGTCGTAGAAGATATCAATGACCATTCGCCAGTTTTTACACACGATTCGTACAACGTGACAATATCAGAAGCTGTACCTTTCGGGACTACTGTTTTGACAGTGCAAGCAAAAGATGATGATAAGAATGCCAGTCAAATGCTTCAATATAGTATATTAGGTAGAGCTACGGCATTTTTCCACGTGGATTCTATAAAAGGGAATATTATCATCAAACACTCTCTTGATCACGAAGTTCAATCCTTTCATCATTTCGTTGTCATGGTAGCAGACAACGGATCACCGTCACTAAGCACGACCGCAGATGTCTGGGTAACGGTAACAGACGTTAACGACAATCCTCCTCGATTTGGACATGCTGACTATAGTTGTGAAGTAAGCGTATTGGTAGAGCGAGATCATTTTGTAACAATGGTAGATGCCTCGGACATGGATGCCACAGACCAACTGAAACTCTTGTATTCCATTGTGGGTGGCAATGATCTTCAAGCTTTCTATATTCATCGGAAAACAGGTGCTCACTATATGTAGAGAAAGAAAGCGAGTATATTTATATATAATAAAATATTAAGTGTGATATTTTTTATTTAGAATGAAATCAATATAATTAACCGAAACTATAAAAAAATATTTGTTTTACTCGTAATTCACACTTTACAGATTAACTTCTAAACACTGTGGTTTACAATGAGAGATGGCAAACCTAGAATTTTAATCCAGCTCCAATTCTTTCATGTATACCTAAGAATGAGTTTCTCAAAATATACTTTAAGTTTAGTATTGAATTTTGTTCAATATTTAAACACAATACGTTCATATTATAAACGCGTGTACTTGTGACATTAATTAAGAAGCGTAAGTTCTTGTGTTATTTGATACTTAAATTCCTTCAAGTCGATTACTATCTACCTTGTTTACAGATATATTGTTCTCGGATAGAGACTATTTGGTGACATAAAACGATTCTAAAGCAATATGCAAGCATTTACAATAATAAACTACCTTAGTGGAAGTTCCTTCAATGGATAGCACAAACTATAATTAATGGTAAAATCAAACAAACGACACATTTTAAAGTCATAAAGATTTTAAACAAACTTAAAAATAGAGCAACAAAATTGCTGCTTAAGTACCAAACACATAGCATATAGCGTGTAAGAAACTTACATAACATCATATTTTACACTTTCCGATTATGCTAGAAAAAGTATAGTACTTCTACTGTAACAATTTGGTTTTTATGACAAATCAGAACAATGCGTTTATGATCAGGGAAAAAAGACATTTCGTAGTAAACTGCTCAAAATAATTAAAGGACAATTAGAATTTGTAATATTATAGCTATGAAAAAACAAAACCACTGCTAAAGAATAAATCGGGTACTCTATGATTTATATCCGAGATATCTTTAACAGCAAGGCTATCAATCTTATGGAAGAATATGCTCTAATCTTTATATGAAAGAATGCAAGAATAGTAACATATCTAATTAGCTATACACGTTACCAGGTTGATTTTTATTTTTTATCTTAGTTGGTAGTTTACTCTGATCAGAAATTAACATGTGATCTGAAGTGCAAATAATTGGTTATTCAGAATACGCTCTAAACGAAAACTTAGTAGACATAGTTTCACACATTATAACATGTCATCACGAACAACCTGACACTGACGCTGCATGCTTAAAATCAGAGTATTTATAAGGTTCTGAGTTATCTTTGACCATTCTTCCAGAAAAGCTGTTGCCAGGCCATCTTTAGTGTCTGAAGTTCCTTGACGGAATGACACGCATCTTCTAAGAGCACCCCAATCTCGGGCTCTTCTTCTTCGAGTCGTCTGTTTACCGATTAACACAAAGGTAGATAGGCGTTATCACCCATATGACTGAAGCAGAATTCATTTACTAGCACATGGTAGCACAAATGATTGTAGTAGGATCTTGTCCTTACCGCATGTACTTTAATGGTACCATTACGCAGGATTTAGAGTTTGGCGGATATCGGTTTGCCTTGTGGAAGTTAGAACAATTGTGCCATTGTTTTTGAAGCAGTTAAACATTCTGTTAACGAAACTTTAAAACACTCGGAGTTGATTCGTAATAGCCTGCCATGATTGATTGGCTTTCATTTGTCCAATGGCTCTCCACATGATTAAAATATCAATATATCTTCTTTGAGGTCTAGCCATGACTCGTGAACAATTTCTAATAATGAAATTATTTTTTATCGGTATATTTCTTTGTCATAGTTATAATATTACAAATTCCGACTGTCCTTCCTTTAAATGTTTTGAACTGTTTATTCAACAGAAATGTTCTGTTATTCAACAACTTAGTTTAGTTGAATGAAACTTTACTGTAAAACTGAAACTTATTTGAAACTTACTTACTACTCAATAGTTATGAGTTTTTGAGTAATGTCAGTGTTATTAATTATACTTGCATTAAAATTTAACATGCTTCACCATAGATATTAATATCTTTGTGAACATTTTAATTTTCTAAAGAGTAGAATTTAGCATCTCCATTGTTCCTGTAAAACTAACACCACAAATCAGCGTAAACTATTACCCCCGTTTGCCTGACAATAAAATTATTATTATCATATCTAGTCCAGATGTTCTTTCAATCGTATTCACTTTTAACTTGTCTGCTGAGGTTCGAGCCTATGCCAAATTTTATAATTTATGTCACTTATCGTTATTTAAAAATATACAATAATGGAAGCGTCGTCATCAGAAATGTTATAATAAATTACCGTAATGACTCACAAAAAAGGGAAGTATCGCAGTCAATATTACTGATGGAAGTAGTTAGTAATTACTGAGGGAAGTAGTAAGATGTATCTGTGAAGGTTCTGCCGATTTATTTTTAAGAAAAAGGGTGATTGCTTAGGTGTAGATAAAATATTTGATAAGAAGGTCACCGAAAAAAAATCTTCATTTTAACCATATAAATTGTATTAATGTCTCCTTGGATTTTGTAATTATTACTAGGTTTATACTTGCTATAAGTGCTTCATTATTATTCTTTGAGCACTATGAGAATATAAAGAAACAAATTTCAATATCCTGAAAACGTCATTAGATATGGAACTAAGTATAGTGTTGACGAATACTTTTAATAACATAAAGCTGACTACAGTTTAGTGTCAATGTGCAAGAGACAAATTGAGCAACCAGAAAAATTGAAAACTTCATTCCAGTTAAACTAAAAGTCGCTTTAATCTGTTATCTTTTTTAAAGATACACATATGGGGTCTGTACTTTGTTATTATGTAATCTCGCATTGAAGTTTCTTCGAAAGACATTTTGTTAGTTCTCATGACTTGCTTGCCAAAGAAAAATAAAGCTAGATTAATAAAATAATGTTTTTAATAATAAAAGATCTGAAATTGTGGAAACAAAATGCTCATGGCTGTGTGTTTTTGATTGTTTGTTTTTTTTGGAAACATTCCAAACTTCTGAAACGTCTGTTCTTAACCAGATGGATAGTAGACAAACATTTAACAGTATTTATGTTTCTAAAGTAAAGCGAGATTGGTCTCTAAAGGCAATGTTAATTTTATACAGCTAATTTTATTTCTCGATGTTACAGGAATCATAGCTATTGCCAGCCCACGACAGTTTATTAAACAGTCGTTCTACACACTTAATGTGACTGTCACTGATGGCGTGTATTCCAGCTACACCGCTGTTTCAGTTAATGCACGAAGTGAAAACCAACATTCCCCAGTTTTCGACAGGAACAAGTACGAAGCTCTCCTGAAAAACGACGTGGCTCCAGGAACTTTAGTTGCCATTGTTTCCGCCACAGATATGGACAAGGGTGTTTATGGTCAGATGGAGTTTAGTATACCAAGTCAAAAGAGTTTGAAATATTTTTACATTGCTCAGAAAACAGGTTGGTCAATGATATTTAAGCCCAGATTATTATAGAAAAGAGTAGGCTAAACTAAAACGAAATGTACAAGTTGTCAGTTCATTCAACTGAAGGCAACTATCATAATGTAAAACTTCAGTTTGTTCTTCATTCCTTCCCCTCCAATCATCCTTTTATTATATGTCTTTACTACTCAAATTAAATAAGATCTTGTTGTTTTGCTGTTCTAATACCTATTGTAACAGAATCATTATCACTGTACGTTATCTAATTTGCTAATTACAGTCACAAGATAGCTGAACTTTTACTACAAAAGTAATAATTTAACTATGACGAACTCTTGTTACTTATGTTCCACTATTTGTTTCTATGGGACTTGAGATATAAAATTAGAATTGTGGATATTAAGTTTTGGATGATTTAACAAAGAAACTAAAATGTTTAGATGTGCAAGAAACGAATTAAGGAACTTATGATGTGTGCCTTTAAAACAAATTGTATCTATTATAACAAAGAGGTAAATATTCTAGCAGTGAATTAAAATTAGTAGAGGAGTTGATGTTTGGCGTTTATTTGCGACTGAACATGGAAATGTGTGGCAAGAAGAAACACGCAAAAAATTAATACTATTCGAAAGGTTTGAAGACATTTTGAAAATGTCATTAAAATCCATATATATATATATATTAATGTAAAGCATATTAAAATAATTTTCGTTATGTTATTAGGGGATTTCTTATACTTCATAACAAAAAGAAAGTAAAATACAAATATTTAACTGCGAGTTTTTGTCATTTGCTGTCATTAGAAAATATAATGAGGAAATCTTGCACAATCCATAATACATACATAAGTTTCGTAGGATATTAAATCGTCGTCTGTAACAACTGAGGAGTGTTTGAATCAGCGCTGTAATGTAAAGGACTAGAATACAGTAAAGTAATGTTATTTATTTACAATAGTTCATTTTTTTCATCAAACATCTTCAACAAAACTCTTAAGTTATTGCAAATTTATGGTATATTCAAAATTATCTACATCTAAACATACTTAGCCAATTAGAGAGGAAATATCTCTTAAACAGCCTCTTAGGTCTTCAGGAATCTTAACTCTTATTTAAGTATTTGAATCGCAATGTCTAAAAAGAGTTATTTAAAGTCTAAATGTTTTTTGTCACAATGAGAGGAGATTTCAATGTAAAATCTGATCTTTTTTACTGATATTTCTTTAAGTATCCTTCCAGACGAATATAATTAGATTAATGTAATCTAGAAATTATGAAATCGATCAATTTGAAATTTGATGAATACAGTAATACTTCGAGGTCTTATTTGTCTGTTCGTATGTTCTAGAATTATTATCACTGGTATTAGAATTACATCTGATCTCATAGAAATATATCCTTATCAGATTAGCATAAGTAAGAAAATTGAGAACATATCTATATAACTGATAGACCTCAATTACATGAGGAATAAGTTTCATTAATTTTGTTAGGAGATATATATCCTGTTAGCAACGCGTTTTATAATTATTAATTACGTAAAACATAAAACATTCAATACCATATTTGAGGGTTAGATACTACAAGTGTTCTGTAACTGATTCATGGCGAAGCTATCTCAACACCAAAAGATTGTCAATACTCTTTCAACAAGTAGAAGGAAAGCTGACTGTGATTTAGGGTGAGTATCTCTTTTTGAATTAGAAGAGTCTCCTTCATTTTCAAACGTCGATTATGACTAATTATCTGAGATTACCTGCCTAAGAATGCTGTAATAAAGCAAAAACGCGGGATAATAAAATCCTCTCTAATTGAAGAAAGAAGTGGAATATTAAAGCTAACCCTCACAGATCCCGATAAAGTCGTCATCGTCTCCTGGATATGCGTCAACACATTTGTATTGCTCAGTAGACGTAGCATCTGTCACTATAAGGACAGAAATATTGTTTAATGAATTTGGAATGTATTTAAAGCGAAGAACTTCTTTCGCGTTAGAGAAAGTTCTAACCGTCACTTAAAGAAGTAAGCATCAATTTAACAAGAGGTACATAAATTCACAACATTACACCCTGATAATTAATAACTTAGTTCCAGCCTCTTAGAATCTATTTCCATTTCTTTACTTTTAAAAAAGACGAACTGTTAAACTGTTTTATCGACGTAAAGTACATTCTCTAATAGATGTCACGAAAAATATATTGTATTACTTATTACCTACGAACTGGAACTTTTTATGTGATAAAATAATCCTCAATAATACATGAGGTAATTTATTCCACTATAAATTTTACAAGTCCAATTTTTAATACAGCAATAGTAAATCTAGACCTCTTTATAAAATATTATGATTCATTTGTGTATTTGCTGTAAAGAATACGAGTTGCGATTAGATCTGTAACGTTGCACATTTACTGTATTTATATGTATGATAAATCACGTCGTTTTCCTTAGGTTTTAAGATGTATATATAATCTACTGACCTATCATTCCCCAATATTTCTGGTTTTATTCTATGATATTAACAGGCAATCTCTGACTTAACCTAAGAAAATTACAATAGCTTGTTAAGTGAATAGAGTTCCTGCCAAATCCGGAAAAGCATAAGTAAATCATAGGTATGGATAGGGCACGATCTGCCGAGCACTTGTAAAAACGGTTGTTGAGTTATAAATTGCCAGGGTCGAGCTTGTTTAGAGATGGTCATAGGTCAAGCCAAGCCGAAATATGTTAGCAATTTGCTAACGTTGTTTATTTCCTCGTTCTCCTCAAAACAATGTTTTCGTGATTAGAAACTCTTCTGGAACCTCCTTGAAAATATCTGATCAGTTAGTGAATGATGTTCTCGCTTCGGTCTTTATTTGCATTGTCACCTTTCTCAAATATAAACTTTCTTTGACTTATTTTAAGGCTCACTTTTTCGGTCACGGGTATATCGTCATGATCACATCCATGTCAGCTTCGATAGTGATGCTTCAAACATTTGTACGGAATTCGGAACGATCAGTATAAGTGTTTTTGAATAACAAAGTGTGTTTTTTAGTGAAATCGTATTAAAACAACTGATAGCAAGAAACCAATTTTCACACTAACCCTACAAAAGTCACTATCATTAAAAGTACTTCTCTCTCTTACGCGATTGCCATACACTGTTCGAATCGTCATAAAATAGGCTGTATTCTGTCAGTTTGCAAGAAATACAACAAAATTCCAGATTTGTCTGACAGAGAACGGTGTAGAAAACTCTCTGGCTAGGTCAGAGATTTTTTGCTAAAAACAAAAATTTAATTACATAGTTGCTTACTTAAAATACGTTATCAAGATAATCCAAATGATCGGAGAGTAAATATTTAGTAACATCTCGAATGAACTGGTGTAAAAAAAAAAATCCTGACACAATTTAATACTCGCTTTCTTAATAAAAAAA